CTCCTTTCCATATATGGACTATTCAATTGGACTATATTCAACTCGAAACCTTATTCTCTAAAGATTCTCGACCAGTAAGTTTGGATAGAATAGAAGATGGATGAAAAAAATCAAATAGTGGTTGAAAAAGTCATGCTACAAGATAAACGGAAGTTTTCAGTATATCAAAATTTGACGTAACCCGTCGTTTGGGACTTTTTTAGGTTGGGCTTATAGATGGATCCATTAACGTGAGTCATGGCTTTTAGGTTCGGCATCTGGTTCTATGATTGGGCTAAAATTGTAGCAAGCCACTACGTGGGCCCAACTTGACGATGGCAATGTTGGTCGGAGCAAATCTGACCCGAAGGCTGGAAGCAACCCGATCCATGGCATATGCAACACCGGGCTCCGCGTCTCTGTTTTTGTTTTCCATAATCGTCGTCAGCCACACTTTACTAAGCTCCATCTCTGCGGAGAAGGACAAGAAAGAGCTTTAGACGGTCGACGAAGGCTTCTCTCCTTCTTCAGCTTCCGGCGAGAGGGAGAGAGAGAGGTGGCGGAGTTGAAAAATGCCCTTCATATCGCAGATACAACGGCAGTCCGATTACGCCTACTTCCCATCCGAAACCCCTATCGTCATTGACAACGGTGCTTCCTACTTCCGCATCGGGTAAAGGACGAACAAGCTCACTACGAACCCTAATTCTCTACTATGCTGAGCAAAATACCCGCTGTTTTGATTGACAACCATTTTACTTTATAGCTGATTTTGTTTGGACTTCCTCCCACCAATTTTGTACTGGCAGGTGGGCGGGAGAGAACGATCCTCGGGTAATTTTCCGCAACATTGTCCAGAGACCTCGCCATAAGGCCACAGGTGAGTGCATCTGTTCTTTGCTCTGTCCTTTTGTTTCTTTTTTCCTTGCCTTTTACTGCCATTTGTCTTACTGTTGAGTTGCTTTGAGATGTGAGTTACAGTTACTAAGTAGCTGTGATATGGGTGGCTCTAATCTGCTCTCTTTTTCTGGCCATATAGGTGAAACAGTGACCATTGTGGGCGACCATGATCCTGCGTTGTTGAGATACTTTGACTGCACTCGCTCTGGGCCTCGTTCTGCTTTTGACAACAATGTCGTTTACCAGTTTGAAATAATGGAATATGTAAGTTTTTCACAAGATTATAGAGTGGTTATAGTCTCTCACACCTGGTTTATGAGCAGTACAATTGCTTAATTTGTGCATCTCTGATGCTTACAGCAGTAGGATTGAATTTATCATATTCAAGATTGAACATGTTAAGTCTCATGTGAACTCCCTGTGTGACATTACTGACGGGATGTTGGTTATTAGATTCCTGCTTTTTCTTGTTCGAACGTGTCATAGGTTATCCTGTCTACCAACAGTTAATTATCTTTACTATTTATCATGCAGATTCTGGACTTTGGGTTTGACCGACTCGGAGCTAATGGATCACAGGTACATAAAAAGTTCATTTATCAATGAGAGGATACCTCAGTAGGCTTCCACTGTATAGGCTAATAGTTTTGTGGTCTTCCATCTGCTCAGCAGGCTGGTTTCAGAAAGCTATAAAGACTAGTGATTATTATCATTTTTATGTAATACTCAGAGTTGTCGTCTTTTGTTCTTTATTGATTCATATAATGAGAGAGATCTGTTCTATATTCTTCTCTAATTTGGCTCTTTTGCCTATCGGGTTAATGGAAATAATAGGGAGGTATCATCTACCTAGTCGTCATTCAGAGTGTACCAATTAATATTCAGATTAGGTTTCATGGTTCTGATTATGCAATGCTTGCAATGCAAGGTTCCACTCATTTTCTGCTGTGTTGCAACTGTATATGTAGGATATTTTGTACACGTTTACTTGTGCTGGCTGTTTATTGACTTTCTATCCTTTTGTGCACAGAACAGATTGATCATCCTGTCCTGATCACTGAATGTGTCTGCAATCCGGTGCATTCTCGTAGTAAAATGTCAGAACTTTTGTTCGAGACATATGGAGTTCCATCAGTTGGTATATGCCCTAACTGTCATTGATTAGACAGCTATCCACACACTTCACAGAAGGAACTGTTGTTCTTTTATGTTTTCTTTCAAAGATACAACTGATATATTCAACTTTAGTTTTGCTTTGATTCATAGCTTTCGGAGTTGATGCTGCATTCAGCTACAAGTACAATCAGCGTCATGGGATTTGCAACGAAGATGGCCTTGCTATATGCCCTGGATTCAACACAACCCATGTTATCCCGGTATGCTTTCTGACCTGTGTTTGCTTATCCTAATTTTAGTTCATAATGGGCGATATATCCGTGTATGCTACAGCTTTCAAGATTGATCATACATTAGTCTAGGAAAACGTTTGAACTTTGTATTGGTAATTGCTCTTCCTATGGAATCAGAGTTTTCTGTTTTTCTCCTAGTTCATTGCTGGAGAGCCTGTTTATAAAGGGTGCACTCGGACAAACATTGGCGGTTATCATGTCACTGACTACCTGAAGCAACTTCTTTCACTAAAGTACCCTCACCACATGTGAGTGTACTCCCATTCAGACTCTGTTTCCAGAAGATTTTATTATTTGCTATAAACAATTGTCTGTGCTTGCATTTTATAAGATGCTATCCTTTCTATCAGGGCTCGATTTACATGGGAAAAGGTTGAAGACCTAAAAATGGAGCACTGTTATATTGCACCTACCTATGCTTCTGATACTCGGTTGTTTCAGGTAACAGGCTCCCCCATCTACTGCATGACTATCAATACTTGAATATCTCTGTATGTGACCTAGTGCAAATGTGGCACAGAAAGGGACTGATGAAGCTGAAGATAAAACTAGGGTTTGGCAGCTTCCTTGGGTTCCACCACCAGTTGAAGAGCTCCCATCAGAGGAAGAGATAGCCAGAAAGGCTGCTTTAAAGGAAAGGCAAGGTCAAAGGTTAAGAGAAATGGCTGAAGCAAAGAGGTTATCAAGGATAAATGAACTAGATAACGAGTTGCGTGGGCTGGAATTTCTTCTGCACCAACTTGAGCAGGTACAAGCTCATGAAATTCCTAATTTCCTTAGAGAGACTGGCTATCATTCCAGGCAGGAAATAGAGGCCTCTGCGCACAAGGTGACACTGTCTCTAAGGAAAGCTAAAGGAGAGCCAAAAGCTGACCAGTCTGAAGCTGAAGACAAGACTGATTCTAGTGAAAAGTACCCTCTAATAAACATCCCTGATGAAATGCTGACCCCTGATCAGGTACGCTACCAATTTCTTTTTTGCACGTTGTCAATGAGGCAACTGTTTTCTTTATTACCCACCCAAACTACAATATACAGCGTCCTTTTAGCTATATCTTTTTTAATGAAAATAATAAAAATATTTAATATTTCTTGTGCATCATTGGCAGATCAAAGAGAAGAGAAAACAGCTCTTCCTTAAGACTACATCTGATGGTCGACAGAGAGCAAAGCAGAAACGTCTTGATGAGGAATCGGAACGAGAAAGAAGGAATCAGCTAGATGAAGAAAGACGTTTGTATGCATCTCATCTTCGAATTGCAGCTTTTCTTTCTGAAATCTCTCATCCTCCAGCTAATTTTAATCAATAGTTTACTGCTCATATGTAGCCTACTTTTGTTTTTTCCACTTCAGGGAGAACCCAGAGCTTTATTTAGAGCAGACACACGCTAGGTACATGGAACTCGCCGAGAGAGTTGAGCAGCGAAAACGGTTGAAAACAAACGGGAACCAAACCAACGGAAATTCTGGTGGTGTTGGTCGGGGCGAGAGATTGAATGCTGCCCAAAGGGAAAGAATGCGGCTTCTGACAACAGCAGCATTTGATCGAGGGAAGGGTGAGGATACATTTGGTGCTAGAGATGAGGATTGGCAGTTGTACAAGTTAATGAGCAAAGATAATGATGACGATGACGATGGACCAGAACCGGATGAAGTAGAGCTGGCACGCATTTCTTCCCGACTTCAGGTAATGTTCTTTCTGAAGTTCTAAACAACGGGTCTCTAATTCTCTTTTATTTTGGTGTGGCTATTCCAGCTTTTTGAAACTTTTCTTTGCTCTAAAAACTTCAAGTGGTGAAGAAAAAATGTGTTTGATACAGAAGGTTGAGTTGATGACATGCTGTATACTTTTAGTAATCAAAGAGTTATTGATGAGATACTAGATAGTTCATATTCTAATAAGGCCTGGACTTTGAAATAAGTACTACTGGTATTATTTTGAGAATAGGAGCTGAAAATGAAACTTGTGCACTCTGATATCAATACGATCTTTACTTAACAGGAAATAGACCCGACATTTGTGCCTAAATCAGAAGCAGAGGCCTCACAACAGGGTTCTGAGGTACCAAAGTCCCGACCAATGACCCAGGAAGACTTCAAGATTGTCCTTGGGATAGAAAGATTCAGATGTCCAGAAGTCCTATTTAATCCGAACCTAGTAGGGATTGGTCAGGCAGGGGTAGATGAGATGGCTGGGGTCTCAATAAGGAGGTTACCAGAGAAGGATGAGGAGTTGGAGAAGAGACTGACTAGCTCCATTCTGATGACCGGGGGAAGCTGCCTTTACCCTGGTATGTGCGAGCGCTTGGAAGCTGGGATTCGAATGATTAGACCGTGTGGAACACCGATTAAGGTGGTGAGAGCATTGGATCCAATTCTCGATGCCTGGAGAGGAGCTTCTGCATATGCTGCAGCGGTGCAGTTCCCCCAGCAGACGTTCACTAGGATGGACTATTTTGAAAAGGGTGAAGACTGGATTCGCGGTTACAAATTTAGGTACAATTTGTAGTAACCTATTGAAGAATGATTGTTTTTAGCCCGTGTATCTGATTGTAGTAATAGAAAAACCCAACTGGTGATGAGATCAACTGCCCAATTGATTGCCGTATTCCAGTTCTATGGTCTCTCCCACTGTTGTTCTTTTCTTTAAGAACTAAGGATTCGAGAAGTATATAAATTGATGGTGCTCATGGTACTTGGTTTATTATATGGAAACAACTGACTTTAGAGTTACCAAAAAATCGATAAAAGCAATACAACTGTTTCCATAAAATATTATTTGTCAAATCTGCCTGAGTGGAAAATATAAACTTGGTATGTATGTGCTCCTTCATGTACAGGTGGGGACGAATTGAATAGTAGAAGATTGATTGATAATCTCATCATCTAATGTGCGTTCGTCCAAGAGACCAAAGCCCTGTAGCTTTCACTGGCGCCTGTTGGCAACAAAAATACAATGTTAGTGTACAATTATTAGCTTCCAGGTGATATTCTATTGTGTCAAATGGGAGTGCTAGCTTACCGGTGTCTTCATGGATGGGAAGACATTCCAGAACCGCAGAGTTTCATCTCCTGCTCCAGTTACTATTGTCTGCAAACAAAAGAAAAAAACCCCATAGAGAAATTAACTCAGCTGGTGAAATGTACAAGGCCAAAAGCTCCTTTTGAGAAGCTAAATGAAACAAACAGCTCCATTACCTGACCATCAGGCGACATAGCAAGGTACAGAACCCGCAAACTGTGCCCAGTTAGAGTTGCGACCTGTCCAGAGAAGGAAAACTACAATAAGTGAATGGCCGTACTTCTTTTTGTTTGAAACAGTTTATTGGTATTAGGCTACTGAATTGATTACCTTCGATAATGATGGATACTTCCACACCATGATTTGGTTCTGGGAATACCCATGTGTGCTCACCAGCTCGTTCACGTTCTTGCTCCAAGCTAGATTGCATACCTGCCCTCCCACAAACCAAACTCCATCAGGACTTGACAATGATGTAAAAACTGTTGGGAAACACAACCTTGGAGGAAATGATGTGTCCTACTCGATCATAGAGAACGACATATTACCTGGCTACCGGTATCAATATGGTTTAACTGATGGCCGGTGGTAGTGTTCCAGAAGCGAATACATCTATCAGCAGTTCCACCTCCAGATGCAAGCAGCCCACTCTGGTGAGGTGACCATGTAATCGCCTTCACTGCCGCCGTGTGTTCTGTCAGCTTCAGAATCGGTTGCTGAGATTGCTGGTTCCACACTAGCAGCTGAGAGAAGCCCACACAAACCCCAACTCAAGTCATTCCGCCCAATTAATCTCTCTCCATCACTGAACGCACCCATTCAAGTCGATTCGATCCAGTTACCTGATTGTCATTTCCACCGGATGCAAGTTGTCTGTCATCATGAGACCATTTTAATCCACACACCTGCAAAAAAAAAAAAAATGCAGCAAAGCAATTTAGCACAACACAGTACTTCTTCCACTTGAGGAAACTTCAAAAGTGCAGTGTTGGGAAGCATTAGGCACCTCAGATTTATGGCCAACAAGCTTGCTAACAAAGTCGCTGGGAACACGAAGATCATGCTGAAGTATGTTCCTATCCCTGCTTCCTGATGCCAGAATCCGCGAATTCCAAGCCAATACACCTGTCCTCGTTTGATGCCCTCCCATTGTCCTTACCCGCTTGCACTGTGTTCCATCCCACACCTGCCATGCCAAACAGAACAACTATCATTATTGTTACTCTTCCAGTCTCTCAGGGAATAAGAATGGACTGAGAACTGGGCAAGCTAAAACGCTACCTGAACTTGCCCGAAATGGGTGCCAACTGATATGTAGGAACCCTCCCTGGTCCATTGTACTGAGCACACACTATCATTAGGTCCTAAATCACACAACTTGGTCACCTGATAATAACAAACACAAAACAAATTGCTACTTTCATTACTTTCTGACAGACATGGCCAATTGTTTGAAGTTTCCTGCAGAATCATCCAGTGACAACAAACAAACAACAGTAAAAAAGCTTACTTTGCTGTTTGATGCAGACCATAAATACACGCAAGTCCCTAATCCAACTGCAAGCACATTCTGGGATGACCAATCCACCACATTTAAGTAGAAGTCATCTTGTAGAGATGGAGCATCTAAAACCTGCAGCAAAAGAACTGTAATCAATAAAAATTCTGCTACACATTTCCCCCTTCAGCACTGAAAACCACAACTTTGAATTTGAAATTCCTGAACCTTGTGGGGAGTCTTGGGGACCTTGCGGGGAGGCTTAGTAGGGGTAGAACCTTCATTAGAACTTCCACTATCCTGCCTCATGATCGAAGGAGAATACGGGGAATTGGGACCTCCAGAGTGATCGGTCTTGAACCTCAGCATATTCGGACTTCCCAAACCGCCGCTGCCTGCAGGGGAAGAAGAAAAAGAACCAAAATCAGACCCAAACAGCTCACATTTCAATAATCTAGCGTAAGTCTCGTTCCCTCCTCCTTCTTTGACCGGAGAACCAGCCGCAGCCGGCTTGTCCAGAAGCCCAAATGTGTTGAGACGGGAAGCCGATCGGCAAGGTATGAACCGATCGCTGCAGACGGAAGTCTTCGATGGCGACGATAGGCTGGAGATCATTCGCGGGGAAGACACCGAGGCGACTCGAAATGCCGAAGAGGAGGAAACGGATGGATTTTGCTTGGCAATGCTGTCGAGGCGGAGGGAGGTCTCGTTCATCCCGGCAGGGAGATTGAGTCCGCTCTTCCTTCTAGTCTGTGGATCCATTGTGTTGTGTTTTCCGCTTCAAGATTGTTTTTTTCTTGGCCGGCGTTTTGATTGTTGGACAGGGGATGAATTTTGGAGAGGACCGCCGCCGGGGAAAACCAGAGAGGTTTCTTTCTTCCGGTGGCGTTTCTCCCTGGCAATGGCGAGTCGGAGGGGTTCTCTTTGGGAGTTTGCAACGGTCGAATTTTGGGACTAGATATATAGGAAGGGAGCGGGGGAAACGGTGAAAGGTTGGAGCCAACGGTCATTTTTCATGGGCCAATGTGAGCTTTTGATTGGCCCCGCTGGCGGCGTAGACTACCAACTCTTCAGAAATCAAGTGCCCAATAATTCTTGGGTTTTAAGAACTAGTCGAGTTATAGTCTCAACCTACCAAGTTTGATTTTGCTTTTCAAATCAGCTTACGCGCCAATTGGCTAGTAAGCAGTAACTTTGCACAACCTTTTTTCTGGCCAAGTGATTTGATTTCCCTTTGTAGCAAACTGGAAGATGACTGCCAATTTCTTGGCTACACGCCTACACTTCATAGAACCTTCTCTTTACGCTTTCACTATATCCTTCACTCACTCTTTCATCTAAAGAACTTTAGATGCAAAAAAGAAATTGTAAATCACTGAAACAGAGAAGGACTGTTTCCTCTGACAATTCACACAGAACCCTTTAACCTACCCAGCCTTGCCTCTGCAGCTGTTCCGGCAGCAAACCGAGAATCGGGATCTTTTATGATTGGAGGCCTTGGCAGATGAGGTAGATCTCTCTTGACGAAGATCGTGTTGCTTTCGGCCTTAACCACGATGCCTTTCTGAAGAGTGGCTTGCATATCTTGGTGAAGTCTACACAGCAAAACCACTAGTTGAAGCAAAGGGTGGAAACAAAGGAACTTCCTTTTGGAAGCTTTTCTATTCAGGAAATTATTCTCACTCACCCTGAATATCCTCACTCTCCAGAAGCTTGATTACCAGGTTGCCTCCAGACAACAATATACCACTTTCATCTGTATCATCAGCAGCAGAAGGTCCATCTACAGACCCCTCCTGCTGAATTGATGCCGCTGCTCTACCCACAGCCAGCTCAAGTGCTCGCATCCCTAGCTCCATGGATAAAGCAGCATCTCTGGTTGTAATCCCAGAAACTGAAGGGCACATGTCGGACAGTATCACAGAAAATCCTTTCTTCTGCAGAAAGAACCAATGCAAGCAAATTTGATAAATTTCCGAAGATTGAAATGGCAGAAACTCAACGGAAGAGTATTCTTCAGTAACTAAAGGCTTAAAGAGAGGCATTTCAGTCAGAATTATACACATGGCCAGATGATAAGAATGAGAGTGAATTAAGGAAAAATTAGGCCATATGTCAGCGTTCTAAAATGAGGAACAGTGAGCTAAACCCAACAGATTCAAATGCTGATTCCCTACTTGCTTAAAGCCAAGGTACACGACTTTGTGCAGACCGTGGTGATAACTACAGTCATTCTCTCATTCAAACATTGTCTCATCTGCAAATCCTCCAGTTGACATGCACTAAGACAATTAATTAAGAACTATGTAAGCTGCAAACTATGTGATTCAGTCTAATAACTACATTCAATCGACAAAACTAGAAATAGCCACTAGTAGAATAAGTATTTAATTTAAGCTAGCAACCCATTACGAAGTCACGGTTAGCACAAGTAATACCTTAGGAGAGAGAGCCCTAATTTGGTCCATGGGGAGCTTCACCACATCAGCTGAAACAGTCTGAACCCTTGCATCACAGTGAGCTGAAGGAACCTTCACCTTCTGCTCTGCACATTCCATAGTAGAACATATTATAAGGTTGTACCAAGTTCACTGCCTTGAAAAGTTCTCCAAAACAAGCAAGCTCGACGATTATCAGAAAACTAAACCAAGAACAATCAGAGTGGTGGATAACACACCTTGAGATCAATGCCCACTACAGCCCCGCCACTTTGTAATGGACCTAAGCTCTGGCATGCCACCTAAAATTATAAGCCCATTTCAACATCAGAAACATCAATCTTATACCTCAAATTAGACCAAAACAGAAATCCAATGAAAACCCATGTAGGAAAACATCAGAATTTAATTAAAGCTTGCATCTTTTAGAGCACAGACAACCAGCGAAATACCTGAAGCCAAGCACCGGGGGCGCAACCCAGATCAAGAACGGATGACCCGGGAGTTATCAGCTTGTGCTTATTCTGTATCTGGAGAAGCTGGAGGAAGAACGAGCGAATGGAATCAAAGCAGAGAGTCAGAGAATGACCATCGAAAGAAATACAGTAACAATGGAGATCAGGTCCGAATGGAGGAATGGAAATTATCACCTTGAAAGCAGAGCGTGCTACGTAGCCGAGGCGCTGAGCTTCTCTATAGAAGAAATCAGGGGTTCCGGCGCCACTCATCTCTCAGAGTCTCTCACTAGGGAGGAACGGCCGAACGGGTGCTTCGAATTGAGGGAACCAGAAGGAAGGGTTCTGGGTTTTAGCCGGAGAAAGGTAGAAATTTTATTTTCATCCTTGAACTTCCTTATTATTATCATTCTGGTACAATAATTTTCTTATACAACAAACTTATATTCGATCAAACTGATACTTCAAATCTTATTCTTAGTCACCTTGGTACATGAAGTTTCTATAATCAGGATTTTCCAATTAGGGTTGGTTACTTATCATGCAAAATAACTAGAGCTAAGATTTCCATGTAATATATCATGCCATAATGAAAAAATTAGTAATCAGTGGTCATCAATGAAGATCCTTACAAGTTACATCTACAAAGTTATTGATTTCTAGGCCAAAACACGACCAGGGAAAATAGACAACAAACAATTACTGTACTCATGTAACTATCAAACAGCTTACTGAGGGGATTGATTAGAGCTAACATGATTTAGTAATCTACATCCTTATTTCTAACCGAAATTGAAAAGAAAGAAAAATGTTGAGGGGTGTAAGCAACAAACTTTTTTACCCCAATAATGGAGTTGGTCACCTGATAATTCAATCCAGAGTTCCAGACATACATAAATCATAAACCTTTCCCCAGGAATTGATTAATGTTGTTGAAATTCTGATAAGCACGTGTAAGAATAACTTGGAAGATAAAGAAAAGGAAAAATAATTCCATGTTCGGAAACCGTAATGCATTACATCAAACAGAGACAGAGCTCACATATCCTAGTTCCCAACCTCACATGCCCTCATTTATGGTCTTCCTCTTTCAAACAGAACTCAACTGACTGCATGTCATGTTGGTTATTATACTGCCACGCGGCGTGCAACGCAAGCTGACACCATCGGATTAACTCCTTACGTTCTTAATCGTTGGCACGTAAGCGAAAGAACAATCCAACGATACCTATTAGTAGTGAACTCCCACGTTTATTCGTGACCTAGACTCGACATAGAAATGAAAACAAACAAATAAATAGAACATAAAACATATATCAGCTGACTCCAGCCGTAGAACCAGCTAGAAGACATTGACAAGCTACTAGTTTGGTGAAACAAAAAAAATATATATATACAAAGCTGACAGTGACCAAGACCAAAGATTTTATAGAGAAAACAAACAAAGTGCTTCAGCTGTGCATTGTATTTGGGAAAAACAGGAGAAAGAGACATGGATGAGGACTTTTCTAACGAGAATATGACGGCCACCACCGCTATCGCCATCACCCACTTGCATTTTCAGAACCGTGAGATGAGATGACTGGCTAAAGAACAAAATTATTACTATGGGGTACTTAAAGAACTATTCAGCTCAAAAGTCTGCAGATCCTAGAGCCGATATCAGAAACATTGCAGATATTTCTGCCAACAGAATCTGATTAGATTAGCCATTTTGATGCATTGCCACAGCTAATAGCTTAGGAATGTACGGAACACTAAAAACAAATCAAGAAATTTACACTTCTGAAGCTATACATGGCGAAAAACGGAAACTGTAATCTTCACTTCTGTGCTGTGTTTTTTAACACAGCTCCAAGGCTACAGATGATCCTTAGCTCTCAAACAAGAAGCTCTAGCGGTTGCCATGAGACACTTGATCGATCATCGGTCAACGATCATCTCTTCCTCGCTCATTGAGATGGATACTGCTGCATTGCACGCCTTGAAAGCAGGGAACTCTCTTGGCTAACGCTGCAACTCTCAGTCTCTCACTGATTGTCCTACTCAGCAAGCAGATGAACCAAAAATGTATGATGTTCATTCTACCATTTTGACTGCATGGAAGCAGTGACAGTAGTTGGGTAGCAGAAAGAAAGATGAGGAACAAATGGAATTACCATGAACTCACAGAATGAAGAAACCATTGCCCTATGGCAAGGTCACCCCACAATGCCCCTTGCCTGTTCCATGATGAACAATAGAGAGATTACTTTAATAATCGATAGGTTTCCAGGTAGAGAGTGCATACAAAATCCGACCCTTCCACCCTTGGAGAAGCCATTGCCCATCCTCATCAATCACAAAATCTTTGTCATAATTCTCCTTCACCTTTTCTTTTGCAATCGTAAAAATCCCCCTATTCAGAGGCAGCTGTGTGAACCCAGCTCTTTGCATCCTGACTTGACACTGCTTGTATGTCTCTGGCCTCTCCAGCCTCTCTGCACCTTCACAAGCAATCACATTCATGGCCTCCCAACCGAAAATTTCTCTCTCAATAAGCTTCCTCTCCGGGATATCACGTGGAACAGTAGTCTCCAACATATCAAACAAAGTGGAGTAGTGGAAGAGAGCCTCCCTGAACCGGGTGATGAAGAATGGTGCGCTGTAGGCTCCATTGACAACGCCGAGTATGAAGACATCGGGCCTCATCTTCCTCACCAGGTTTAGGACAATGTTCCTAGGACAGTCCACCACCACCGTTTCATCCAGCAAGTTTCTCAGCCTGAATAAACAGTTCACAACCAGAACCTCACCCTTCTCAATCTTGAGATCCTCGATCCGAATAGTGTCCCACTTCTGTGCAATGGCATTGAACTCGAACGGAACATTGAAAGTTCTAGCGTAGTTTGCCAACCTACGCCCAGTCTCCTCCACCCTTTCAGCTGGCCGGAAACCCGGGTTCGGGAAATCGACTCCTGTGATTCGAAGCTTTGGAGGCCCACCAGGCATGGAGGACAAGCGCTGAATGAGGCATGGCCACTGGAAACCATAAAGAATTCCGAATTCAACTATGTGAAGAGTTTTCGTTGTCGAACGTTGAGCCAAGTTCATTGTTGTTTTGTTTGAGAAAAAGTTCGAGAGCTTCCTAAATGGACATGCAGCTAGAAACAGCTGGTACGCTTTCAACACATCAGCAGCTGAGGTTGGCTTTGTAATGAGTGCTTTATATATTTGTGTTCCCGAGCCAGCTAAGCGTGCCTCCAGACCATCTGCAAAAATGTATGCGAGTCTCTGCATTCCATCCCCAGTTTGGGAAGCATTATCCCTTATCTGTTTCAAAAGATCGTTTGAGTTCCTCCTGTCATCAGCAGCAACAGCCTGTGCGCAGAGAGTCAACAGTGTCCTTAAGTCAACCACATTTTGTTTAGCTTTCCCCTGGCGCTTGCCTCGAGCTCTGCCACCACTACTAGACAACCCTTTGGTGGTTTGTCTATTCTGCTGTGCTGTCTTGTTCTTCTCACTCTGGAGAGCTGCACGGAGTGAAGCCTCTGGATCCTGTGCACAGTTGAGTAATATCCTGTCAAAATCTGCAGAACTCACTGTTGATTCGGGAGAAGAAACTGCTGACTGCTTACTGCTCCTTCCAGATCCAACCTCCAAGTTGAGATACTCAGGAGGATGAGGGTTCTTCTTTCCTCTAGGCTCATGCTTACTATCATGATCATAAAGGTCTTTAAGGTAGATCCCGTTACTCTCTACATCAAGAGCCAAATTACTCCTGGGAATGAACTTACTTGCCTCTTCAAACCCTTTTCTAAACTGAATAGCAGACTCGGTCTCAGCAAAAAAGTCTGGAACTGAAATGCTGCTCAATGGAGATTCTGCGAATGAACTATCAATTACTGTGCTTGAGCTGAGCACTGGACTATGTGATGTATAATTATCATTATAACTCCACCCAGAATCAATTAAGCTACTACCACCACAACTGTTGCTGTTCGGGCTACTAGTAGAACAAGTGCGAGGATTCGGTTCATGGCTTTCATCTAAACTCTCATGGTGTTGATCAGTAACATGTAAAGTTGGTGGGTACCTTTCTCCAATGAGTTCATAGAGCGATTTCTCTGCGGCCTGAAGTGCTGCTGAGGACTCCTGGAACATGCATGCTTTCTCTCCCATGTCTTCTTCCATGAGCATATCAGTAATATACTTGAGAACCACATCACTGAAATCAAAATCATCATGGGGCGACTCTAAAGCTTGGGTTCTGCTCGACTGAAACGTTGCCTCGCCAACGTTTCCACTAGGGCAACTGGTTGGCAAAGGAGAAATCCTCACTGGGTTCTTATTATCAACAGCAGAATTGTCTGACTTATACCCAGAAACCAGATTCCTACTAGTTAAACCAGAGAGGGTTTCATGACTCAGCTTCAACCCATTCACAGAATCGAATAACCCCCCTAATGATTCACCCATGTACATCTATATAAACAGTTGTCAGCAGAACAAGGTCAACCAGAAATCCAAAACCTCGATGAACTCCAAAACTTGCTCTTGTCTCCCCGGACCCTTCTCTTCCAGAACATGAAACACCTTCAAAAAGGGTGGAAAAAGAGAATTTTCACGAGAGCTTCAAATTACACTACGGAGGAGAACCCTTTGCCAACCAAATAAAACAGCAATAAGACAAAAATTGGTCTTGATTATGTCGTCTCAAAGTTCCCAACTTCACAAACCCCCCTACAAAGGGGCAGAATTACGCAGAGTACACAAGATTAAGACTTTGATTCGGAAGCCCAAATTACATCAGCAAAGAAAAGAACTTAAACATGCATTTCAATCAAGCAAGAGAATTAAAATATTCATCGAGCAGTAGCAATTCAGTGATGAAGGAAAAGAAAATTCAACAGCCCTTCAGCGCCAAAACACAGGAGGGGCTAAGAACGCAAAAAGAGAAAAGTTGGAATTTATCCAGAACAGCTGCTTGGACAAAATGAAACAGGGCGGCGTCGGCGGCGACAAAAAGGGAAGATGAAGTTACCTGCCAAGGGAAGAGAGCCGGAGAAACACCTACAGCAAAGAAACGGGAAGAGAGGATATAGAATGGAAGGATGAGAATTGAGAGGAGACAGTACGGACTAGGGAGGAAGAAGCAGAAGAGGGCGCGAGAGCGTTAGAAAAGCTGCTCTGTTTCAGAGCATTGGGAAAGGCTATGAATGGAAGAGCTGGGCAGGGCAGGGTAAAAAGGAAATGATAAAAGTCCAAAAAAAAAAAAACGACGTAGACCCGTGAATTTAAACTACTTGGGAGAGCCATTAAATTTTGATTAAATACCGAATTTGGTCACTAATTTATTAGGAAGAATTTTGGTATTTTAATTGTCTTAATTGTCTCAATACCAAGTTTAGTGCGCAATATCACATGGAAAGAGTAGATGAAGGACCAAATTGACATTTTTACGTACTAAAAATGTACTTCGTCCAAAAAATTATCAAGAAGTAATAAATATTCAAATTTTTAGAATAATTTGCTAGTAGTTTAAGATCGAATTAATGAAGTCTTTCGATTTGATGGCGTCAGGCGTGGACTTCGGTTGTCACTCTTGTCAGCACCATGAGGAGAGTTTGGGTTTTCCTAGTAACTTTTGTTGTTTGGATTGGATCAAAGTTTGCCTTGAATGAACCTGACCATGCGGATTGTGCAGATTCTTCCCAGTCACTAACGAGTGCGAGAAGCCCACTACCGAAAACGGGCCATAGCCCACAATTTTCCCGGAAGGTTATATCCGTCTTCTTAGCTCTTGGGCTCTTCCCATCCCACTAAAGGCCGAACCTGGCTAGAATCTCGAAGCCTTGTCGTGGGCTGTGATTTTGTAGCAGTTGGGCTCAACAATTATCTGCAATCAATTACTTTAGGTGTCAGTTATCTAATGGCGGGAAAAAAAATTACTTAGGTGTCGCTTAGGAATGGCAATGGGGCAGGTCTGGGGCGGGTTTCTTGGTACCCAGACCCGCCTCGTGGCAGGTCGGGTCCAGGTCGGGTAATTGATCACGGGTCGCGGGTCGGGGCAGGTCGACCCAATGGGTATGCAATTTCTATGAAAAATATTAGAAATATTCATTATTTTTATTATAAGACTAAGAAAACAAACAATATTATGACAATTGTAGTTAAATTATTGGAGAAATTGAAGTTTTTACTAATTTACAACTTTATTATAGCTAAAAAATGATGCAATAAAAGGAAAATTTTAAGTAATTTGACTAAGATTACATGTAATTTAGACAAGAACGGGTCGAGAATGCGGCGGGTCAGGGCAGGTCGGGTCGATGAGACTACCCATGCCCGCCCCGCCTCACCTACGGGGCGGGTCGGACCCGCCCCAAAACAGGTCAAACAGGTCGTGTAAAACGGGTCAGGTCGAAATTGCCATCCCTAGTGTCGCTAGGGGTGGCAGTCGGTCGGTTTCGGTTTAACCGAAAACCGAAAACCTGGTTATCGGTTAAACCGAGCCACCCTCTATAGCTGCCGACCACCGACCGAAGAGAGGTCACAGTTAGCCGACCAACCGACCGGTCGGTTCTGGTTTTAGGCTCGGTTAGCCGGCCAACCGAAAAAAAAAACATTTTCAAAAAAAAAAAATAATAAGAAACCAAAAATTCTGCACCACTAATACCTAACCTTATCTCTTCGTCTCCCCTTCCTTCCTCCACCAGACATCTCTCCTCTCTCCTTCCTTCTTCTTCTCTTACCTTCTTTCTCTCACCTTCTTTCTCCATGGAAACAAATCTCCATGGAAACAGATTTGTAGGAAGCAGAGGGAACCCAAACCCCGTTGGGAAAGGCACGGAAAAGCAATCCCCCGCAGCCAAACTCGTGAGCTCCTCCAAACCCACGAAGAAATCGTCGTCCGGAGCATCCGGCGAGAACCCGCCGTAGTTCCCCGACTCATCGTTGTCCTCCTCGTCCTCGATCATCTCCAAATCCACTTCCTTGCTCTCCGCCGCCGCCGTGCCCTGGAGGAGGAGCTGCTGCTGATCGTCGTCCTCTGCGGGGGTCGTCGGAGACGAACTGGTTTCGCTCCACCTGTTTCAAAATCTTAAAGCGAATCAGAAGAGGGCGGAGCAAGTTTCTTCTGCCTCTTGCATGGCCGGGTCGGAGTCAGAAGAGGGCGGACGAAGTTGTTCTTCTTCGTCGCCGTTGTCGTCTCCGTCGTCGCGACGGCGATCCGTCTCCCGCCGGCGGAAGCAGGAACGAGGGCCAAGAGGAAGTTGTGGTGGCGGTGGAAGGAGGGGGAGCGGAGGAGGCAGGGTGTCTGTGGAGGTGAGGGTGGAATGGAATAGAAGGTCGATTTAGGGTTTCTGGGGGTCGGTTTACTTTTAACCACTTTATTCATCCTCTTTTTTTACATTTTTCGGTTGTGGGTCGGTTAACCTCGGTTAACCACCTTCGGTTACTCGGCTAACCGGAGAACCCTTCAGTCTTACCGAACACCGACCGTGCTCATAACCGACTGGTTTTCGGTTAGTGACTAACCGGCTGTTAGTGGTTAAACCCGCCGGTTAGCCGCTAACCGGAAACCGATCTGCCACCCCTAGGTGTCGCCTAGATACAATTGAACGAGTTAGACCGTCAATATCAAAATTAAGAGATAAATTAACATTAATTACAACCTTAATATTTGCTCTCAATCTTTTTAATAGCTCAAGAACTATGTGAACCATTGACATATGATTCTATGAACATGTGAGCTAATTTTCTTATTCTTTAAGTAATTAATTAATCATTTGAAGTGAAGTGGAAGTGTTGAATTTAACTACTTCATTCATCATTTAGTACAAAATGGCAAAATGCTATTTAGTACAATATCTCAATGGCTTATGTTTAGTGTCTTCTTGAACCTTGATATATATATATATATATGGTGGCGTATTCGGTGCACCCACTTTTTCGGGTGCACTCAATGCACCCGCCTCATAATCGTCATTCTGACCATGCGATTCATGTCAAAACGGTATCAATTGTTGCTTATAATATTATGAACAAGAAGCACATGAATTTGAAAAAAATTCATTCAAATTTTTCTTTAATTCGAAGGATTTAGGATTTAGGAATTTAGGGTTAGTGTTTAGGTTTACAGTTTGGGATTTTGGGTTGAGATTCAAAATTGAAGGTTAAGGGGTTAGGGTAATGGATTGATTTGTTATGATTCTATGTCATATCATCATATTATATTGAGAGTACTAATTAAAGTTCAAAATTTGATGTCTTATGAACACTTTTAGAGTTAGGTGCACTGAGTTTACCAAAAAAAGTGAGTGCACCGAAGTAGTCACCATATGTGTATATATATATATATATATGGGTTAAAGACACATTTGGTCACTGAGATTACAAAATTGGGACATGTTTAGTCACTAGAAAAAGTTAATATCAAATTTGGTCACTACAATTACTAAAAACGGACACATTTAGTCACTCGCCGTTAGTCTCCGTCCAACTCCGTTAATGAAGTCCGTTAAGTGCTGATGTGGCAAACAGAATTGCCTAATCAGCCGGATATAACCCAACAAAAACAAAATCCGACCCGCCACGTCATTATAACCCGCCACGTCATTAAAACCAACCCAACCCAACCCCACCCAACCCTTCTTCCTCCTTCCTCCCACCTCGACACCTCCCACCTCCTTCTTTCCCCAAAACCGAGTAAACTAACTTCATATGAATTTTCTTCATATGAATTTGATATTAATATGAAGATCTTGATTCCGGAGACGGTCAAGTCGGGGCGGTGGGGACGGTAGATGACGTAGACGGCCGCGCCGGCGATGGTGGCGAGTAAGAGGAGGGAGAGGATGATTAGGGTTATCCAGAAGCAGAGGCAGCAGCAGCTGTGGCGGAACTTGCGTTGGGGTTGGGGACGGTAGGCGGGGCGGTTGGCTCCGTAGAGCTGGGCCTTCGTTGCGGGGAAGGCGGGAGCCGCGCCGGGCACGGCGGTGGTGGTTGGAGGAGCCGCCGCCGCCGCGGCGGGAGGTTTGGCTGGATAGACTCTGTCGGTCATGGGGATTTAGATTGGGGGAGAGGGATTTGATTTGTCTGGGGAAGTGTTTGGGCTTTGAGAAAAGGGGAAGAAAGTGAAGGGAAATTTTTTTGGAGTGTGGTGGTTTTTGCTTAGGTCCAAAGGGAAGAGATTAAAAAGTGGAGCGGAAAATTTATTAAGCGAGGGATGCTGGTTGTGGAAGGTGGGGACTGGGAGGAAGGAGGGTTGGGTGGGTTGGGTCATGGGTTGGGTTGGGTTGGTTTTAATGACGTGGAGGGTCGGGTTTTATTTTTGTTGGGTTATATCCGGCTGATTAGGCAATTCTGTTTGCCACATCAGCTCTTAACGGACTTCATTAACGGAGTTGGACGGAGACTAACGGCGAGTGACTAAATGTGTCTAGTTTTAGTAATTGTAGTGACCAAATTTGATATTAACTTTTTCTAGTGACTAAACATGTCCCGATTTTGTAATCTCAGTGACCAAATGTGTCTTTAACCCATATATATATATATATATATATTACAATACCATTGATAAGCTTGTAATAGTATGAGAAATGATAAGTTTTCATGTATAATTAAACGTTTAACAATTTATAAACAAATATTTATACACAAATGAAAAACATATCCAACAAGGCATCTCCAGCCGAGAAATGATTCCATTTCCACGCCCCCACCGACCCACCAACCAGCCCCACAACCTCAGTCAGATCAGATCAGATCCGATCCAGATCCCAATTTCCAGCCAAGAACCACAATCCTCAAAACTTTGGCATTTTACTAACTTGCTACTGCAGCAAGCAACAACCAAACACGCCCCAATTTTATAAAAACAAACAAACAAACAGCTCCCATATTAAAACTATAACTCTCCAGTCTTTACCCAAAACCCAAAAGAAGTAGAACACCATCTTAAAACTACAGCGCCAGCCAACCTCCTTAAAAACCCAAAAACCAAAACCAGACAGCGCCAGGCAGGCAGGAAGCCCGGACAGAATACTCTGGTATAAAATTCACGTGGCATGTGAAGCTCACGTGCCCGGCCCTCTTGCTCTTCTTTTTCTCTTGCCCATATTATCCACCGTTACAACTTACAGCAACAGAAAAGAGAAAACAAATCAGAGAGAGAAATGAAAAAAGGGGGAAACTTTTAAGAAGAAGAAGTAAAAAAGACGACTTGGTTAAGCAAGCTTGCTTGAGTCGAACGAAACTAGACAAGGAAGGGAAACAAGGAAGGTAGCTAGCTGCTAAGCCATCCAACCATGACCCTTCCTCATCAAGTCTTTCTTTTCTCTTTATATTCCCTCCAAAGCTCCAATTCTTCTTCACAAAACAGAGAGAGAGAGAGAGAGAGAGAGACAGTGTGCTGTTGGGTTCGGTTTGGCTTAAAAATGTCACATGGCGGTTGCGTGCAAGGAATAGAGTTTTAGCCGTAAAGAAATTTTGCGCCTACTCCCACCACCACCCTTCTCTGCCTGCCTTTCAAGCTCCAATTACTTTACTTTGATGCTTTCCCCTCTTCACAATCCAACAGTTTCATCCCACTTCCTTTTTGCAGAACATACAATGCTGCAAAGGATATACAAATGATTCATGAAAGCTAGTAGTAGTTTCCGTCTGTCCGTGAATGAATCGAAACGAGGCATACATGTATCGAAAGAGGAGCAACTGATGATGCGTCGCAGATCGAGTACGACAGCAATCAAAATCACAAGAGACGAGCGAGGTGAAGATATGAGAAACAAAAATCTCTCATTTTTCAAATGTTCCTTTGAACCTGAGCTACACATAATCTATTACACCAGATTAAATCAAAGAATTGGGAAATTTTAATGTTCCTATTAGGCTGAGCCACTCCCCCTAGAGGGGATTTATTTCATGGAACTGAATCAATTTACAAAATGCCCTAGCTTTCCTTCTCCCCTGGTCTCCAATGGGGGGGAGGGGAAACACTGGGAATGAATTGTTGTAAAGACAAGTGTGAGTGTATTACATAATAAACATTCCGAGAAATCAATTGTTGCATTTTGTACAATTTTGTTGCTGTTCTTCTTTGTCACCCTGTTCTGTGCCTTCCCCTGTTCCTTCCCGGTCAACAAGTAGTGGTTGTAGTAGTTTCCCTTCCTTTTGTACACTATTATACCAAGTGAAATGTTACCCGCCTCCTTCTTCAAGCCTCAATCGCCTGCCCGTCTGTTATCTGCAGCACCGTCGGGGTTGCAGTTGCAGTTGCAGTCGCAGTGGCAACAGCAGCTGCATTTTTGGTATGTTGCTTGGCTTGATGCTGCGACCAGTAGCTGTGTGCAGCCAACACTCTGTCAAGAAGCTTCTGAGGAACTGGCTCTCCCCTTCTTTGCTGCGGAGCAATCTGGGCTGTGTGGACTAATGTCTTCCATTTATCCTGGAAACCAAAAGTTTGAGGAGCCAGTAGAATGTCAGCTCAATTTTGCTGAAGGAAGTTCAGCATAAGTGCATATTACAAGGATAACACAAGTGAATTGGTAGATTCAACGATAGACATTGATATAATGTGAATTTATGTAATATATGGATTCAAGTTAAAACATCAGGATCACAGAAATACAGTAGGCAAGTCTGTATACCTTCAAGTCAACATATGTTCGATGGTCAGCATTGTCAAAAGATCGCAACTTAACATCCCGCCACCTGCGGAAGTACAAGAACCCATTGGTGAGATTATGTTTTACCAGTACAGGGAATTGAGCATTGTATAAGCTCGAAGGAGAGATTTATATACCTTCCAGTGCCAAGTTCTTCAACGGCTTGGACAAGTGCCTCTACTTCGGAGACTGAGAATGGTCTCCTAGTTCGACGCTGTACATTCTCAGATCGCCTAGATTTCTGGTTGAGGGGAACAACAGCAAGTGCCTCAGCACTTGCTGGTTCAACTGCAACCAGAGCTTTGGAATCTGATGGTGATTTGTTGTCAGCTACTATGTCAGCATTAGAGGAAAGTGGTTCCTGATCAGTAGTCTCACTGTTGTAGTCAACCTGATTTGTTGGTGGAGAAGGAGCAAGCCTGGGTGAGTCAATAAGCTTTAGTGACTCTACAATTGTAGTCTCTGGGGACCTGAAGAAACAAAATAAATAGCTGAGAATCACACGTGTAACAAAAACCATTTTGTCTTGTCGAGAAAGGCTAACATGAGACAGCAGTAGTCCTTAATATAAGCTGGCTGGGAGGAAAATCTTTACGATTAGTCGAAAAGAAGGTTTGAATTACCTTGATATAAGGTGGGATGTTTCACATGGTAAAATAGCAGGAGGCTCTTCACTGCACAAGGGCACAGGAGCTTGCACTGAATTAGGCTCCAGGGTAAAACCCAGAGTCTCAAGGCTATCAGCAGAAGTGATACCAGTCTGCAAAAGGGTTCTGTTATCGTCCCTGACCTTCTTTCCGTGAAGAACCAGCCCAACACGTAAACCACCACCAAGTAGAGAAGTTACAGCTTCCACAACAGTTCTCTGTAGCAAATTTAAAATCCAGTCTCATTAGAATGAGCAAAATATAAAGGAACATCAGGAAACATCTAGCTCCAAGTAGCGACTAACTAACTGGTTTCAGGTTTGAGAGAAGACAACAAGAAAAACTAGTCTATGATGCAAGCAGACACAAGCTTTCAAATCCCAACTGGTACGGAAGAGTGCAGATCTATACCTTGAGAGAACCAACAGTTGCAGTTTCTGGGACGTCAATGAAAAGTTCTGGAATTTTGAAGGACTTGATGCTCAGTTTAACTGAAACAAGAAGTTTGACAACAAATAAGAACCTTGGGAATCCAAGACAGTCAAAATCAAGGGCCAAAACCATAAACATTTATCCATCTCAGTACCATGAGAATCCTTCGACCGGAGCTGGGCTTGATTACCAATAACGGGAGATGACATGCCATTTTCTGCATAATAATCATGAGGCATGAGCAAAAGAAACCAGCAACAGCTGAAAGCTTAGAGAAATGGACCAGAAAACAGGAAAACGGAGCAGTACAAATCAACACACCTCCATAACACAATACTGCTGAACCATTGTCTCCAGATGTGCCTTTCTCAGGAGAGTTACAAACACTTTCACCGCTAAAACCCCTATCAGATGCTATGACTACGCTACGGTCAGAAAACTTCCTCCTCTTGTAAAGAATGTCGCCCTGAGTTTTGTCAGGGTTGCAAGACAACTTCCTCTTATGATGAAGAGGCTTCATCCCCAAATCTGCAAATACAGAAATGAAACTGAAATGTCAGGAAAAAGTCAATAGACAGAGATATAAATCACACTCCAGCAAACAACCACTTACAAGGTCTCGTTAGCTCATAGTCTTTCAGCTTCGGTGCTGCTTTCCAGTATTTGGATGACAGTAGTTTTCTTATTCTTCTGTCTCCAATTCTAGATGAAGGCCTAAATGCCTTTCTTCTGCTGCTTAGTTTATTAAACCTAAAAAAGTTTTCATCATCATCTCTAATACCTAATTTAACACCATTCCCAAGCTTCAAATCAGAAGCCCTGGGAAGGGAATTCCCATGGGATAAATGTTTGGCAGTGTTGTCTGAGTTTATCAATGCAGGATTCCTCAGGCATGACTTCATGGGATCCTTTGAACTGCAGGCATTATCAAGGATCAACCCCCGAGTCTCCATCCCATCAGCCAATGGCTGACTGCCAACCCCATTTTCTGGTTTTTCATCACAAGGCTCTACAGTAACAGGAGGGGCTCCCTCCAACTTAGGTGCCTTTTCACCTTGGATTGGCTTTACATCACTATTGCCTTTCTCTGAGGAATCGGAATTCGAGACAGTTGAATACCGCTCCAAAATGGCATCACTCTCAGCTGGCAGTGGAATTTCATTCAGACTTCCCCTACTGTCACTGCTAGGTGAACCGTAGTCAGGGAGGAAAATGCTCTCTTCGCAGCTTCCCAAATCCAAGCACTCTGTTTTCACAGGTTTAGTCTCAACTTGCTCTCTTTTAACAACACCATCACTAATTGCAGGCCGGTCATTTGCATCAGATGCATTACTAGAAGCAGATGAGCTTTCACTCTCCTGTAATAGCTTTCCAGCTAGAGAAGCAAGTAACTCAAATGCACAGATTTGGCTGTCCTCAACTATCCTCTTATGAAAGGCCCTCTGCCAAGTAAAATCATGAAATGGCGGTCGTTAGAAAGACCATTCCTTTCTATGAAATAGCACACTAAACTCAGAAAAGAAAAGTATCGTAAGTACTTACTCTGGCAGATCTGGGAGCCTTGGGAACAGAAGGGAAGTGGAGATTGTTAAAACCATGAGATTGTCTCTTCTTAAACACCATATCTCAAGCATACATACCAGATGGGCACTTATCAAACAAGAATTGTCGCAATCAGAAATCACAGGACTGCGATCAACCAAAAGAACAAGGAAAATGTCAACAAGCTATTCTGGCTTCAATTTTGAATACATTCAATCTATAAGTTTATGCCAAACAAACACAATCATCATTGATCTGCTCATCAACATGAAAACCAAATCAAAATTGAACTGAAACAATCTCAATATCAATCTGAATTCTGAACCCATCAAAAAGAGATCCATAACAACATTACTGAACCTCAAGATCAAATTCTCACCCGATCGAAGCACATCCGTATCAACCATGCGAAATTCAACAAAAATTGATAAGAAGAATGAGAAGACACCAACTTGACTTTAACAAAACTTAAGCAGCCGCAGCAGCAATTAGTTCAATCAGACCATTCTGATTTTCAAATTTCAAATGGCACAAATCTACAACAGACACGTCAAGAAAGACTCATGCTGGAAGATAATTCAGCTCCAGAATTAGAATTCTTGCTCCAGGGAACAATCTACCAATAATTCAGCAATGCCCACAGTAATTAAACAACAGACGCAACACCAGAAGAAGAAAGCCGATTTTACAAAAACAAGTACAATCTCCTGGAATTCAAATAAGGCTGCTGACTTTTTTTTAGAACAAAAAGCACTGAAACTCCATATCCCCTTTGGTAAAAAAAACTGCAGTTCCCTCCCAAACCCAGAATTCCGGCAAACCGCCTCACATCCACGATCAGATCCCGATCTCAGGCCACGAAAGCAAAACAGAGAATCACTTTCACCCTTAATTTTTTTTATTTTCGGCAAGATCGAAAGAATCGCAGCTCGCTCGCACACAATTGAAACAACACAATCATGGGACAGAACAGAAGCAAGGAAGAAGAAGAAAGTTGAGCAGGAAATTCCACCAACATTAGCCTGATCTAACACTTACCACCACTGACCTCGAGATTAACGTCAATCTTGGGAGAATTCCGTCGAACAATATGTACAGGAAGAGCCCAACCGAGTCGGCGCGACGCAGATCGGGATCGGAGGTGGAAAATCGGACCAGGCAGTAGAGATCAGGGGAGAGAATTATCAATTCCAATTCAATGCAACAAGAGGGAAGAAAACAAATCCGCCATCACCACAGAAATCAATCTCTCTGCATTCTAGTTGCTCATTTTTATTTTTACCTCGAACTCAAAAGAAACATAAGAAGAGGGGAAGAGGGTAACAGAAAAACCTCTCTCTCTCTCAATAAAAACACACAGACAACAACGAGAAGGGAAAAACCATGAAAGAAGAGAAACAACAGTGGCTTTTGCTGCCTTAAACCCCTCTCCTTCTTCGTCGTCTGTTTTTTTATATCCTTCCTTCCAAAGAACGTTTGACCACAAAACCGGGCGGGCCGGTAACCCAGCGCCCATGACCGGGCGATAGCCGGTCAGCGATAAACCCCTTACCCCTCCACCCTCTCCTCTCTCCGGGAGTATTTGAAGGAAGTGATGGGTTTTAGCCACGTGGAGCGCTGCCGAATTTTGTTATTTATGTTGGAAGGATAATGAGGTGAAAAAAGTAGAGAAAAGAAACGAAAAACGGAAAAGGAAAGAAGGAGGACAAGTAATGGGGTTTTTTGTGTGCGTGGGGAGCGACTCGCGGTGTGATTGGTGGGACGGGTTTGACGTGGGCCTGGTGGGCTTTGAGGGTTGGACGCGCGGTCCACTAACTGCAATTTGTGGCTAAGTGGCTAAGGGAGAGAGAGAGAAGGAGGGAAATGTGATCCAAATAATAACCGGGGGAAAAAATGAGAGAGAGAGAGAGAGGGAGAGCGCAGTTCAATTTTCTTTTCTTCACGGCAGGTCGGGCTGCGTTTCTTTTCAAGGAATATTCCATTGTACTGATTGCGTTGTTCAAAGGAAAAAAAACATATTCCATCTCCTAATGGATGGTTTGAAAGTTGCGAACGTTAAATCGTTGCGTTGTAATGAATCACTATAATATAAATGCATGTATTGATGCAATGGATGTATTTTAACAATACATTGTTTGGTTGTTGAGATTCTACTTTATGCATTGATTTATATAAAGTTACTTTTATAGAGAAATGTCACATTTACTCTCAACTTTTACTAAAAGTCAATTAAATAGTCCATATTAGAAAATGTGTCATTCAAGAGATAATTATTTTCTGGTGTAAACAATAATTCAGAATAACAAGTGGTCTATGAAAATTCAATTACTTTCTCAAACAATTAATAACTATATATTAGACTAATTGTTAATTTTCCTTTTCAAAGATGCGTCACATTAACTTTTTTCCGGTAATTACGTCACAAGAAGTTGCTTAAGACATTGATGGTTATTTTTAGTATTATTCGGTTTGTTGTCATTTTCGATAATCACCTGGATTTGTATTTATTAAAGGAACGTTTGTTCCCGAAAAACAGCTCGTTCCAATGGCTACAAGTGAGAGCGTCAAAAACACGATTCATAATTCATAAATTAGCTTCCTTTGCCTTTATCAAACCAGCCTCATTTAGCTTCCTAACCTTCTTGTTGAAATTTATTGATCGGTTTGATTCGTCCACAATCTAAACGTTGGTAGCTAGCTACCAAACTGAACTCTTGAATCTGTCTCTTGAAACTATGGAGAAGGTCAATTTTGTTAATGTTTGGTGGACTTTTTTTATATAATTTACTCAAACAACTTATTTTTCACAAGATTTTCTCGATTAATCATATGCAAGTCAATCTATTTGTGGCATTTCATCTGTTCTCATAAAATCTCGGCAACCAACCAATTAAAATTTTCAACTCATTTCGTTCATTAAGTAAACATCGACAGCAAACCAACCGCTCCAATGAATTACTATTCAAAATTGCGAATTTGTTGTAGAAATACTTTTTTTACGGAAGCAGTGTATATGGTTGGTTTTGAGTGTAAATATTTGTTCCTGGTTTCCCTAAATACCCAGCCTCGAGAAGCCCTAATTAACTTGCCCAACAAACACGTGCTTCCCAATGTAAATATGGGGATATGATATCTTTAATATCCCATAGCAATGAGCAAATATCATGAAAATATTGTGTCATAATGACCGTTCCACACATAAAATCGGGCCCTTTCTACTCAGACATTATTAATTTATTATTAGTACTTTGACATTTTTCCAGTTTCGTGTGTTTGATGATAACCAGTACAGCTACGGCTAGCTCGTGCCTGCATGAGCTGCCAAAAGCTAAGAGAAGCACGTAATCTTTACTAATAAGTTCACATTTGATCGCGCTTACTTACCTGACCATGTTCTCTTCTAATTCCAAACTCCATATCAATTTGGCAACTATAAAAGTCCGATTCATGCACGGTTATCTGTTTATCTAATCTTCATAGTATATATTCAATCGTTTATCTGTTTATCTGTTTATCTAATTTATGAAATGAATCGCGAAGGATTCAAAACGAGTCCCATTCGATTGAGATTCATTCAAGGGTGTGGTTTGACTGGTGAACTACCTAAAACTATACTGTTTATCTAATCTGGTTATGTCAAATTATTTCATCAATTAAATAAGATTTACGTGACTCGATTAGTATGGTAATTACGTTCAATGTTGAAGGTCTTATTCTGTTTATCTAATTTTAGTATGGTAATTACCTGACTCGTTGTTTACTAATCTTTATGGTGCAAATAACATAGACAGAGAACAATATTGTCAGGCGCTCTCAACCGCTCAGTACTTAATTACATCTTAATATATTGACTTATGTTGAATCAAAGAACTAAAAACCGTCTGTACAAGCAGCAGTAGAATCATCAATTAGAATCAAAGATTTGGAAAGTTGAAGCTACAACGATGTGTTTTCTCTATATCAAATACCTTACAACTCGACTACCTCCTAACATCGAAACACCTAACCTATTCGACCGTTTCGGTTGAACCACTTAACATATTTAGACAGTAAACAACGTTCCTCTTCTTGGCAATTTAAAATCACAAGACCATTGACCACACGATTAATTGCATAACTAAACTACATTCTTGTATGCATATTCATGCTATTAGAGATAGATCAATTTTTTCATATAAAAAAGCTGAAAATATCAAACATTGTTCGATTGTCACTGCCGCGCTGCACTGCAGTATATCAAGATATGCATCATAGAGGTGAAAAAGAATCCATCGGTGGCGTCAGTTGGAAGAAAATGACTATTCCCACACTGCCAACTGTTAATACTTTCTTTCTATCCGCCTCTCCTTTTGTTGCCATTTCATTCACCAAATACTTTACTTTTGATTTCCGCTTAAATTATGCTAGGCAACTTTAATTTGGATTATTCAATAATAGTAGTAATAAATAATAATGGAGATTTATTTACCATACCGAATGAGAAAGTGGAGATAATTTTAGTTTTTGTGTATCTTTGCTCATGGAACTTTTGTCGACATTAGGAGTATACATGATGTGTCTATAGCTCTTTGTAGACATGTTTGCGAAACCATAATCAAATTTATGGAAAATCTTCAACATTGAACGTAATTACCATACTAACAGAGTCAAGTAAATCTTATATTGTGTCTAACCGATTTATATGAATCTCTGACGACCGTGCTAATAAGGCCTTCATCGACTTTTGCTTTGCAGCAGCAGGCAGCAGCCTTACTCTCTCTGTGTGTGTACTATTCTCTCGACTGTGGAATATCCATCCTTCTCTTCTCAATTGTCACTCCTTGCACACTTTTCTCTTAATGGGTTTTTTTGTCCAATATATTATATGAACTGAACTATATATAAAGATAAAGTGAGGTTAGGCTGAACTAATCCCATGCTACTAACTAATCAATTATTAATGTCTGGTAACAGTACTTTACAGCAGGCATGGGGCAGGGGGTAACGTGAATGTAGATTTATATACAAAATTACAAACAAATAACCTTTTAATCTTTTGTAATAATATATAATAAGATTTAATTAATTAATATACAAGTAATTGGAAGTGGGAATCTATTTCCCAAGAGAATGGAATCTCCTCAAAATCACATTAACATTTCACCTCCCCCAGCTATGGGAAAATGAAGGGTAGTACAAAAAGGGACCACACTATCATCATAATTAATTAGAAATCAAGTTCTAATCTTCTCTACCTAATCTAATACCCATTTGGATCTGTGTTCACCTCGTCACTGAGCCAAGGATATATTTATTTAATGGAGGGACAGGATTATGTAATTGTAAAATGAGGGAATCATTTTGATTAATTACACAAAAGGAAAAAAGTAGGAATAAATTGAAATGAATAAATATGGGGAATGAGATGAGGGAGATGACTTTTGTTGGTTCATTCACTCAAATGCATATGATCCAATAATTGCCTCTAATACTCTATACTCCCTTTATATTATTAGGTGCAATAAAATGAAATAAAAAAAAAAAGAATAAAATCTATGGGATAAGATACGATTATTATAAGACAAAAGGCAGGGTAATTTATATATACTTAGGCAGTCAGGTCTGTGCAAGTGAGGCAGAGGGGATGCTTAATTAAATGGTGCTTAATTAATTGATTCCTACTTTTAATTTACAGACAATTACCAGAGTGGGGAAATGATCACATGACTCTGGAGAAAGAGAGGGGAGATTCCATGTGATTATGAAAGGGTGATTATCATTTTACATGTGATGGCTTGTGCAATCCAGCCTAATTAATCTTTTTTTGGTTTCCAAGATATATAGACCACCCCCAAAACAGATAACAAGGAAAGAGGAGCCATGCCATGGCTGCTCTAGGGTCCACCATCGTTTACAAATTACATAGATTGAATGATTTACGTTATTTACAAAATTGTCATCACATTAACCGAACGGTTTAGATTGTTCATGTTCAATTCATTGGTATTCAATTAACTTGTATTTATATGTGCTATTTGTTGGGATTGGGTACGACCCACATCTGGTTGTTTCACACACATATGTGTCTATATTACACACACTTAATGAGCCCTGTCTCGTTCTTGACCTCTTCGATCTCAACTCAACCTAATTTTCACTCACATGCATGCTATTTGGACTAATAGTCAAGTTTGGTATAGCTAGATTTAGTGCAAACCTCCAATCTCTCAAATACTTTGTGTTCATTAAATATGTGTCTCTTCTTCTTTTTCTTCCT